TCGAGATGGTTACAAAATTAAATGTTCGTGATAAGGATATTATTAAACGTGGTGAATGGTTAGAAGATACCCATATGGATTATTTTGCAACTCTTGTGCGATCTTCTACCAATTATTCACCACGTGAGACATGGAGAGTGCAGTGTCCGGATACCATCGAGCCAGTATTACAAAACAATAAACACGTACAAATACTACATAGTGGCTACGGACGAAACGATGGGCACTGGGTATGTAGTTACTATGATGCTAAGAGAATTTACTTATACGATTCATTAAATCAACAAAGATTACATGAGCATCATAAGATATTCTTGAAAAAATTATACCCGTTTTATCCTTTCGACGAGAAACCAGTGAAATTTCCTAATGTGCAACAACAGCCAAATGGTAATGATTGTGGCGTGTTTGCAATTGCTTTTGCAGTATCATTGATCTTTGGGTTAAAGCCAGACACGATTAGGTACGATCATTATTCAATGCGACCACATTTACTTAGAATGTTAGAATTATATCATTTAGAGCATTTTCCTCAAGATCTTCATTATGGTCCACAGAAAACAGTTCTTCCATTACAAGTAATTCTATTTCGAAATGCCGACGCTGCACGTAAACGCAATGATCAAAGTAACGTACTTGAAAAAAATTTGTATGAAAATCGAAAGGATGAAACTAATAAACAAAAATGGCTTAAATATTCAAATGAAGCAACGAGCAAATGTTCTCAAGAACGCGAAGATTATTCATTGAATAAAGAAAATAAACTAAAACGGAAACGAAAAAATTATGCCGACAATGCTGAACAAAATCGGGGGGTGGCTCGAAAAAATTATACTGCTAGTATAGACAAAAGACAAGAAACTGCTCGTAAAAATGATGCTATTAATGTTGACAGAAATCGCGAAAACGCCCGTAAACGTGACGCTGTTAATATTGACAGAAATCGCGAAAACGCCCGTAAACGTGACGCTGTTAATATTGACAGAAATCGCGAAAACGCCCGTAAACGTGACGCTGTTAATATTGACAGAAATCGCGAAAACGCCCGTAAACGTGACGCTGTTAATATTGACAGAAATCGCGAAAACGCCCGTAAACGTGACGCTGTTAATATTGACAGAAATCGCGAAAACGCCCGTAAACGTGACGCTGTTAATATTGACAGAAATCGCGAAAACGCCCGTAAACGTGACGCTGTTAATATTGACAGAAATCGCGAAAACGCCCGTAAACGTGACGCTGTTAATATTGACAGAAATCGCGAAAACGCCCGTAAACGTGACGCTGTTAATATTGACAGAAATCGCGAAAACGCCCGTAAACGTGACGCTGTTAATATTGACAGAAATCGCGAAAACGCCCGTAAACGTGACGCTGTTAATATTGACAGAAATCGCGAAAACGCCCGTAAACGTGACGCTGTTAATATTGACAGAAATCGCGAAAACGCCCGTAAACGTGACGCTGTTAATATTGACAGAAATCGCGAAAACGCCCGTAAACGTGACGCTGTTAATATTGACAGAAATCGCGAAAACGCCCGTAAACGTGACGCTGTTAATATTGACAGAAATCGCGAAAACGCCCGTAAACGTGACGCTGTTAATATTGACAGAAATCGCGAAAACGCCCGTAAACGTGACGCTGTTAATATTGACAGAAATCGCGTAAACGCCCGTAAACGTGACGCTGTTAATATTGACAGAAATCGCGTAAACGCCCGTAAACGTGACGCTGTTAATATTGACAGAAATCGCGTAAACGCCCGTAAACGTGACGCTGTTAATATTGACAGAAATCGCGTAAACGCCCGTAAACGTGACGCTGTTAATATTGACAGAAATCGCGTAAACGCCCGTAAACGTGACGCTGTTAATATTGACAGAAATCGCGTAAACGCCCGTAAACGTGACGCTGTTAATATTGACAGAAATCGCGTAAACGCCCGTAAACGTGACGCTGTTAATATTGACAGAAATCGCGTAAACGCCCGTAAACGTGACGCTGTTAATATTGACAGAAATCGCGTAAACGCCCGTAAACGTGACGCTGTTAATATTGACAGAAATCGCGTAAACGCCCGTAAACGTGACGCTGTTAATATTGACAGAAATCGCTATCAAGTTATGTAATTCGAAACTTGGTCATTCACAAAGTTGTTATATTGATCAAACTCTTCGTGATTCAACATTTCTTGCTGTACAGCTTTTATCTCCGCATTTTCCTAAACTACGATACATTGAAAGATTATTTTATAAATTGATTAAAACAGATACAAATTTATCATCCCTAGACAAAGCTTTAAATACGGGTGATGTAAATGTATTACAAGAAATATCTTCTTCGGCTAAGCAAAATGCAATTAATTTGAACACAAATGCAGAGGGAATAAGTTTAAATGAAGATGAGATTTCTTCGCGTTATTCATACGCATTTAAAGCATTTACAACACGGGCGCTTGATGTACCACGGCACGCTTGTATCTCATGATAAACTAAAACGGAAACGAAAAAATTATGCAGACAATGCTGAACAAAATCGGGGGGTGGCTCGAAAAAATTATACTGCTAGTATAGACAAAAGACAAGAAACTGCTCGTAAAAATGATGCTATTAATGTTGATAGAAATCGCGAAAATGCCCGTAAACGTGACGCTGTTAATATTGACAGAAATCGCGAAAACGCCCGTAAACGTGACGCTGTTAATATTGACAGAAATCGCGAAAACGCCCGTAAACGTGACGCTGTTAATATTGACAGAAATCGCGAAAACGCCCGTAAACGTGACGCTGTTAATATTGACAGAAATCGCGAAAACGCCCGTAAACGTGACGCTGTTAATATTGACAGAAATCGCGAAAACGCCCGTAAACGTGACGCTGTTAATATTGACAGAAATCGCGAAAACGCCCGTAAACGTGACGCTGTTAATGTTGATAAGAATCGGGAGGCAGCTCGTATAAAGTATAATGAACTAAAAGAAAATAAACAAGATCAGAAACGTATTAATTATGATAAAAATTGTGAATATTTACGGGGTTTAAAACGGAAAAATTACCATGATAACGTTGAGGATAATCGTCTTAAAAAACGTATCAAATATTCAGATAATCGCGATTGGGAACAAGTGCGAAAGAGAAAGTTCAATCGTGTCAATTTTCGTCGAAAGCAAGTTAACAATAAAAATTTTTATTATCGTAATAAGAAACAAATTCTAGCGAGAATAAAAATGAATGCAGCTAAACAAATCGCATTGAAATATAAAAATATCATAGTAGAACACACGACGATAAAGATGAGGAAATCTACAGAAAGTTATATTAAAAGTATTTCTGATAAACTTTCGTTCAGATCCGAAGTAGAATGTAGACTGCAAGCTGAAATCCGTCGTAAAACAAATAAAGCAGGAAAGGTCAGTAGAATTTGCAGATTTGGATTTCCGCGACCAATTACAAATACGATGGTGATTAGAAACATAGCTACGTCGATTGCTGGCCGACGAAAATTAAAAACTAAGAGTAGACTTTATGATCTTCTATGATCATATGATCTATACTCTATGATCTAGAGATATCGAAGCGAATATCAATGATTACAATCCAACAATTCTTACTGCTTGGGAAGGGAACATGGATATCCAATTTGTCGGTGAAAAATCAGCTTTGTTAAATTGGTATATCAACAAATATACAACAAAGTCTGAATCTTGCACCGAGAATGAAACATTTGATGCAATTAAATCTACAAAGTCAGCATGCAGTCGTCTGTGGAATATTGCGTTACGTTCTATTAGCAATAGAGAATGCGGAGCTCTCGAGGCTGCAGATACGCTATTAGGTATCTCATTACATGGTACGGATCCTAGTACGACGATTAGATGGTTAGATGTCAACCAGATTAGAAGTAGAAAAGTAAAATCATTAAAAGAAGTACAAGCTTTAGACGAAGGTTCTACAGATATTTTCTGTCCTTCGTTAATCGATGATTATTATCCTAATAGACCACTAGAATTAGAATCAATAAATCTTTATGATTTTGCAAAGTGGTACGATATTACTAAAATTAAACCCACAAATCCATATGTCGAATCATATAAAATCGGTACTAATTTGTATATAAGAAGGCGATTGCAACGTGGTTATTTGATCAATCACTACCGATATAATGTAAATAATCAACCAGAACGATATTTTTTCGCTTTATTGCTGTTATTTCAACCATGGAGAGATTTGACTGAACTAAAACATGGTTGCGATACCTACGCAGAAGCGTTTCATGCATCAAAATCGATATTAACAGAAGCAACTGAGTATCATGAACGATTGGAAGAAATTGAAACTGCTTTCGATCGGGCGAAAGAACTGGTGGAAAAAAAATGGAAACGGTTAGCCAAGAAGATAATCAAAATTTTTTAAATAATTCTCTAGAATGTCGACCGGTCGAAGCTGCGGAAGCCATGCAAGATTTTAAGCTTGTTGGTGGCAATCTTCCAACACTTAACGTAGAGCAATTAATTTCTGAGCTAAATAAAGATCAAAAGAGAATATTTGATACAGTCGTAGATACTATTCAATCGGACAACGAAATCTTACGTCTTTACGTTAGTGGAGAAGGAGGCACTTGAAAAAGTTTTCTCATTAAAACACTTCGACATTGGTTGAAACAAAACTTGAGTAAAAACACAGCAATTACTGCACCCACTGGTATAGCTGCGTTTAATATAAGCGGTTTAACCATTCATAGACTATTTCAACTTCCCGTGGAACATGGCCATACGCCTAAGTATACTCCATTATCAGATTTTGTTTTAAAAACTCTTAGAAATGATCTAAAAGATGTCATTTTATTCATTATCGATGAGGTTTCCATGATTTCAAATATCACTTTGATGTACATACATCTTCGATTAGCAGAAATATATGACACAACTGATTGTAATAACGGTTGGTTTGGTAGAAAACATATTCTTCTATTTGGAGATTTGCTTCAATTTCCTCCTGTATATGAAGAACCGGCGTTTGTGTCTTTACTTAAAGCCAAAATAGAAAAATATCTGGGTTCTCTAGGAACGATTAATCTATGGACTACTTTATTCAAATACGATGAGTTAACAATTAGTATGCGTCAACGAAATGATACAGCATACCGTGACTTACTCTCGAGAATCCGGATTGGTAATGTCACGAACAATGATTTAAAAACTCTTGAATCCAGACAAATTCAATTTAAATCTTCAACTGCTGCTCTCAGATTACAAGAACTTTGCACTTACATTAATAAATTACCCTGTGATGCAGTTTGTTTGTTACCTACTCGTCACATGTGCGATGTTCTTAATACAGCAATGTTGCAACAAATATCGTCGGATGAAATAATATTGTTGGCACGAGATACTATCGATTGTCCAGTTTATTTAAAAAAGAAGATTTCTACGATACTGACAAAAAATGATGAAGATAGTTCTTGAACTGCCGGTCTTTCTAAAAGTATAATTATTAAAATAGGAGCAAAGATAATGATTAGGAGAAACATCGACGTTACTTTAGGTCCTCCTTCCTTTCCTTATGGCTGACTCCTCCAATGAGGAGATGTGCCAGTACGTTACTTTAGGTCTTGTTAATGGCACCATTGGTCAGGTGACTTCTGTTCAACGAACTGTAGATGGAACAGATATTGAGGCGATAAAAATGAAGTTGCCTTCAGGAAATGAATATTCAATAGAACAGGTTACCGTAAAGTTTCAGGTGATGGACAGTGCCTTTGTATTTCGTAAGCAATTTCCCATTTCTCTTAGCTATGGAATTACTATCCACAAGAGTCAAGGACTCACTCTGAATAATGCCGTCATCGATGCTGGCAATCATGTGTTCAGTTGTGGTCAAATTTACGTTGTCCTCTCGCGCGTTACCTCTATGGATGGAGTGCATTGGATCAATTACGATCCACAATCCATCAAAGCAAGTGAAGAAGCAATTGTTGAATATAATCGATTAAAAAAATTATATAAACCTGTGGTCCCAGAAATTCCTATTCCAAAGAAACGTCATCAAAAAAGGAAGGATTTCGTGTGGATAACAGACACAAATATCATTGATGTTCAAGAAATGATACAAGAAAATACTGTTAAAGTCCATCATAACATCAAAGGATTAAAAAATATTGATAACGTTTCTTGCTATGCTAATGCAATCATGCAATGCATTGTCCATTGTGCACTGATCAACAGAACGTTAAGAAATCAAAAAACTTCTGATGCTCTTACTCGTTTCATAACTTGCTACTTGCAGGGTGAATCGATAGATTCATTCGAAATTAGATAATTTGCCCGTGAAAAGTTTTGTACAAATACTCAACGAGATGCATCGGAGTTTCTTGTAGCGCTTTGTAACAAATCAAATAGTATTGGCAATATTATTGACCATCAATTAGCGACAACAATTAGATGTAAAACTTGTGGAGAAACTAGTACAAATACACACGGATAAATTTTGAGCGGTTTCTGTAGTTTTATCATTATTACATGGGTCGTGCTCGTTAGAATCGCTGGAAACGGTGGAGCGATCGTCGACATAATTTTGGTCGTCGTCTTCGCTGGCGTCCGATGCTATAGCCATGAATTCATCTGTAAAAAAAATTTATGAATAGCACAACCCCATTTTTTTTCCTTTTTCTTTTCCAACGCTATATGACACATACCCCATGTACCGTAATTCATTTCTTCTTCTTCTTCCACCGTTCGCGTATCCAGCGCTGTCGATGGCCCTGGTTCTTTTTTTTTAATAAAAACGTGAATTAGTCGTAAACTTTTTTTTTTAAAGTATATGTTTTACCGTTAGCGTATTGTATCATCGTCGCGGTGCTGGTGCTTGGTTCTGGGCAAACCTCCTCTACACGATTGAGGCACCCTAAGAGCAACCGATCCTTCTCCTCCTCGGGCGCGCCGTCGTTGGTAAGCGGAAAATACATACCTTCGTGGAACGCGTGATCGGCTATAATAGCCCTGGTGATACGGTTATCGCCCACTCCCCGTTTGTTTATACACGCTACGGCTAACGAGAGTATGTACGGATCGTTTTTGAAATATTCTCATTTGTGACCCCTGGCTAGCACGCGCAGAGTACAATGGGAAAATACACTTTTTAATCTACCCTACAGATGACATTTTTTTAAACTGGTGATTACTGTAAGTGATCAGACTGTCTGCCGAGACGTCATGATACGAATTAAAACAGGGTACATCTAGCCTGCGGCCATCTTACAGTCGCAGGGATATTAATTTCAAAAGAAGCGGACTATGCCGTAAAACACGACTATGCAAAATAGTTGATTCAGCGAAAAAATTAATGATTTTCTTATGGTAACGTTATCCGTAGAAAATCGGGTAAAAACATTTCAATCGTAAAATATATATATATATGTATATATGTATATATTGTGACGTATTTTTACGCGATCGACCTCACCGGAAAATGCAAGACCGACCGGCGCACACCTTTACGCGATTCCTACGCGTTCCAGGCAACCCAGGGGCTAACAAATTTCACTCTCGAAAATACCTAAGGTATTGTTGGGCGCCAGGTTCCAAAACGGGAACCACGTATCTGTTTCTACGATATGTCTTCGCGTGCCTACGTTGGCTAACTCAGCTACGCGGAGGCGGCGGGATTCGGAACAATAGGTCGGATGGGTCAGACGATCACGCGACACACAAAATTATTCGGACACTTCGATCTCAAGAAAATGGTTCGGTTTATTAAAGAAAATCGGCGGCGCGAAGCGCGACGATTTCGGACAATACCGAAT